ATAAATGAAATAAATTTCTATGTTTGTTTTAAACATTTTGTGTCATAATTTGTTAGGTACGAATCGACCAGAGAGTTGGGCACGAACTAATCGAAAGCACGTACGAAACGTCTAAGCCTGGGTACGAAAGATCCATGGGTACGAAACGACTGGATACTATGTATTTACATATTTGTTCATCATAAGCAGGTTAGATTTACTTTCCATTTCTTTTTTGATTGTAAAGCGCCATTGGGCTACATGGAGATGGCGCTTAATAAATATTGTTGTTCTTATTAATATTATTATTATTATAATGAATTCATTTATAAATAATGCTGATTAGAGGACCTGTTCCCACACTGTACACGATTGTTCAACATTCCTTTCGGCTGACATTTCGTAAGCGAAGTATGGTGAGCTCCTTATTGTTGTTTATTTCACGCGCTTGAGATGTACTCATACTCCTTGTCTTTCCACATGACTACATTTGCGCTTTTCTTATCGTAGGAAAATCCTATCAATTGTAGTTCCATCGTATTTTGATAATAGAAATATATCGTTTGCAATAAAGTTCAAGCCCTTTCCTGCGCTGACCGACAATACTAACAGTTCCAAATCTTCAAACCTTTCAAAAAATCCTTATGAGCAAGTGGCATTTAGTACAGCAACAACCATTGCTAAGAGAAATCCATAAAAAAAACCGACAATATCGTAATCAAATGATCACTCAGACATACTCGTGAGAGAAAATTGCGAGGACGAGAAAACTGAATATACCATGGTGTTCCGTGTAAACATTTGTAGCTAATACAGAGAAAACTGGTGGTACTACTGAATCATTTAGGTATGTCAACCTCAATTTACACGGGAGCATTAATTACGTCCGTTTCTAAAGCAAAGAAGTACTTTTTATGAGCTCGCCTATACCTGTCCCAACCCCTATCCCGCATTCGAATCGGAGTGTGTCCCGGTCTGGCCTTCCTATCTTCATCCCGCATCTCGCCTTTAAAGTATCTCGTATTCCACATCTCGCCTCGATTTGAAGCCTCATCCTGCATCTTGCCAAACCTATGTTGGACCCTCTCTACCACTTTCATTTAGTATACGGGATTCACTACTGGATTTAATACACTGAGCACGCAGGAAATCTGCGGAGAGCGCGTTAAAGCTGTTAAAAATGATTTGATTACCTTTATAACTAAGATGCAGTCCTCCCTTGATTAGCGCATTCTCTGTGATCTTTAGATGCTGGATAAGTTTCCATCCATTCTGACGGCAGTAGCTCTGTAGATGTTTATACGCATCTTTCACTGCTCTATTAAATACATCCCTTGCAAAAGTAAGCCTCGATATAGCGGAGGTGGCGTCGGATGAATTTTCGATTTGTCTATGATCAATTCAGCATCTTGTAACACCTTTTATATTTAAGGTTATTGGAGCCGACATGGAGAACGACTTGGTTCGGCGAATACTTCAGGCTAGCATTGAGGTTGGCCTTCATAGCTTTTGAGGTGGCCCTACAGAATAACTTGACCACTACTCGATGGCCAACGGCTTTTTCCAGCTTTTTACAGCTCCAATTGATAGGGTTGTACATCGGTGTTGTAGCCACAAATGCTCGTTACATGTCCAACTTCACTTCCAAAATGGCTAAAACAACGAAGTTCAGTAATAAATACTTAGCCGGTTGCAAGAAATGGATTACAAGTTATAGTTGTCACAATTCAAGGTAAAGAA